CAGCAAGCAGTTTTGTTTTCGTTTCTAGTTTTTTTCTATAAGGTGTATGAGCTTGCTGGGGGTGGGGGGGGAGGTGGGGTGGGAAGAGTTGGGGAGTGAGAAATCACCCTTCCCCAGGGGGCATGGTCACGCTGCAGTCTGTTCTCCTTTATTCTCCTCTCAGGATTTTGGGGCACACGTGCACATGTGCCTGGCATGTTTTTTCAGGCTGACTGTCTAGAACTTGAACCACAGAGTCGACTGTTTGGGATCCAGCGCCTTAACCACTGCACCACCTGCTGGCCCCCAGCAAGCAGTTTTATGGCATTTAGATCAAAGCAAGATTGGATATATGTAGATATTTAGTCTCCTTGGACCCTTACAGGTTTTATGACTATATTGTTTTAAGAGAAACTCAGGACACTGGATATTTATGGTACAGATCAGCTAATTGTGCTCACTCTGCCTGTTGCCTGCATCCAGTGACTCCTTACTGGGGATGTTTACATTCTTTGGAGATCAGCCTTGGTCAGAGGCCACTCCCAGAGGGAGAGGATAGAGGGAAGCCAGACATAGGGGGAAACAGTTTATATCCAGACAATACCTCACACCATTCATTTCTTAAGTCCCTAGGTTGTGTTGGTCTTTGTCTGGAAGGACTAATTTCTTTTACAGATCATCTGCTTGGATGTGCTAGACAAAAGGAAGGGAGAAAAAAAAAAAACAACAAAGGAATGAAGTTAAAGTAAAGTGAATCTGTGAGAGTTCACATAGCTAGTAAGAAACACTGAACTCCATTTTGCAAGCACCATTAACTTCGACACTATTAGGAAAAGCCCAGAAGAACAGAAAGCAGAACCAGATTTCTTTTCCCTGGGATTTACAGAGACTCTGACATCCTTGACTAGGCATTTGAGAGACTTAGAATTACATATTTATTTAACAAACACATAGCACATACTATGTGGTGGCCAGTGTTCTAAGAGCTTTAGAAATATTAACTCATTTGGGCTGGCAGATGGCATGGGGTTGAGGTGCTGGACTCCCACTTGGCTGACTGCATTTGAGTCCTGGACTCGGCAGCTTGCTTTCTCACTTTCTCTCCCTCTCTCTCTGATCAAATTAAAAAAAATAATAATAACGAATAAAATTAAGTAAATAATTATTAAGAAAGAGAAAAATTAACTCATTTAATTCTCATCATTTGAATGGCCCTGCGGGGAGAGAAGGACATTGCATCGTGTTAATCATACATACCTAAAAAAGTATAGGATATGTAATTGTGAAGTTGATTTAAAAACGTGGCAAACATAATTTTACCTGGCTTTTCAATTTAGTTGTTCATGTTAAACTCATCAAGCCCAATTGTCCATTTTTTCTGCAATGTTTATGCTTTCGACTTGTAAAATGAGGGTTTTTAAAGTACCTTTGATTAGTTTCCTTTAAATTGCCTGGGCTTTTCTGGCAGCTACATCAGAAACAATAACCTCTGTTTTTGAGCAATTGATGTTTTTCTTTTTATCTCAAGGCCTCTGCACATCCTCCCCACCCCCTAGAAAACTATAATATATTCTTTTGTTCACAAAAGTGAAATTATCATCTGTTGATCACGTGCGCAGTCACCGATGCTGAGGAATGAAACAGTTCAATAGAGTCCAGAACTTTCAGAAGCTTATTCATTTAGGAGAAGCTCAAGGGTCTGTGAGAAGAAGGATGGACATCATGTCCAGGTTTTACTTATTCTTGCCTATCTGGTTTCTTTTACCTTTTCTGTACAGGTCTTGAGAGGTTTGGAGTGGTTTATGGGCTTGGGTTTAACCTGTATTTGACCTTCTGTTGGCCTAACTAAAGGTTAAAATGTAGTTTAAAAGTTGCCATGACAACTGCTAAAATAAAGAGTTGATTATGACACGATTGTGGGACACCTTTATAGGTAACATGGCTGGGACAGATGGCAGCAGACCTGGCCGTGCAGGAGTGGAGTAGTACTATAAGGATCAAAGTATACATCTAGGCAATCTGATGGTCCAAAGTCATGGCAAATAGCTATGGAACAGGAAGAGGTCATCAAAACACACAGAAAGGTTGGTATAATAAGGTGCAGGAAGAACTGGGGATAAGTCAAAGTAATGACTTTAAATATTGTGTTTGCCCTCGTTACATACAGGATTCTCTCTGGTTTTGCATTTGTTCTTTTGATATTCCCATCGGCACATACTGGGAATCCTATGTCTTTATAGGTTTGGGTTTCTGACATATAGCTGCTCTTTAGTTAGAAAGAGTACATCCTCTTTGGCATTAGCTGGAAACTTATTGTCATCTCATACATTTAGTCATTTCATATTACTACCCTGTTTCCAGAACATAATCCCTTAGCTGCACTTTTCTTGTTGTTTTATTATATCTATCTTCTATTTTCATAGTATAGTGTACTTAGAGTTGTACAAATTAGATATCTCTAATGCTGAGGCATGATTAGATTGTGTTGATTCATTCGAAATACATTCATTAGCCCTTATTCCCTGCCAAGAACACTAACAATCTGTTTGAAAAGTAAAAAAGAGCAGAAGAACAGAGGTAAAATTTAGGTGTTCACAGGCATAATCCTATTGTTTCTGCTATTCAGTCAGTTTGGTTTTGGTTCTCCACTCTGACTGTACTCAGTTTGACCACCCTAGGTTCTACTGCTACCTAATTACATGCTAATTCTTTCTTTGGAATTTTATCAGCTGTAAAATAGAAATGAAGTGTCTACAAGATGGCTACGAAGGCCAGGTTGTTTAAAACTGCATGTGTTCATAAAATAATGTATTTGTGAATTTAATAAGTATTTATCAAGTGCTTATGAATACAGAAATAGCGTCTAGGAAAACATTCAGAGCCACCTTATCTGTCTTATCACTGAAACAGAAGGACAGAGGGATCTTGGCTTTGCCACTTAATTTTAATTTGAGTAAGTCCTCTGGGCTTTGGTTTGCATCTTTGAAAAATGGGCATTGTTGATTGTACCTATGTCACAGAATTATGGTAAGCATTAAATGTGATCACATATTTAAAGTGATAGGACAGTGCCAGGCACATTATACGTGCCCAATAAAAGGTAGCTATTATTGACCTATGTTATATCAGGAATGGAGACCTCAAATCATCCTCATGCTGGGGATTTAGGTCAGCTGATTCTGCCTAATATAATCAAGGTTTTGTAAAAATTCTATTCTCAGAATGAAGAATAAATTATTATGATCTTACTGTGTCATAACTTGTCACAAACTGCCTTGAGACAATTCCCTTAAGTTCATCACTGATTAGCTGAGCCGGTTTGATGATTGAATTAACTGAGATAAGTATGTGAAAACATTTTGTAAACTGTAAAGTACTATACCAATATATACATTTTCATTAATAACTCTGAGTTTACTAGGTTCACTTACCTTCTCTGTTAGTTTTCACAAGGTTCCTAAAATGTTGGTTTTACAAAATTACTAACATGGACTTAAGATTTCAATACTCAGTGTGGCTCACTAACTGGGGGTGAAAATTCCTGTAACAGCAGTTTTGAAAATGCTATGAGCCTGGGCCACCATGTGGCATGGTGGTTAAAGCATTGGACACTACCATAGCCTGACCAGAGTTCAAGTCCCAGACCTAGTGTCTTACTTTTTCACTTTCCCTCTCTCTCTCTGTGTGTCTCTCTCTGGTCAAATTAAAATAAATGGATGAATAAATAAAATTAAATAAAAAATTCTAAAATAATATGCTATGAGCCATAGCAACATCATTATAATGTATATAACCTATAATGGTACCTGAAACAGAAACACTGATTTGGATAGGTACTAAATTCCGTGATACTTGTTTTTATTTTTGTTGTTGTTGTTGTTGTTTAGGTTTTTGCCATAGGGCACCTGCATTCACCAGAGAGAGACAGAGAAAAACAGAAGAAAAGTGAGAAATCACCACCACCCCCCCAGGGGTCATGACCAGGCCACAGTCTTCTCTCAAGATTTTGGGCACACAGGCGTGGTTGGTGTGACTTTCAAGCCACTGTGTCTGGGACTCCACCTACGGTCCACCAGTCCACCGTGTGGGCATCCAGCGCCTTAACAACAACACCTGCGGCCCCCCTGAGACACTTGTTTTTAGGAAAATAAGCCTCACTCAAATCTTTGTAAATCAACTGAGGAATGTTTATTAGATAAATAGGTGTGAGGAGGCAAATTTTTATACAATGTAAGAATGCAGACTGTATGGCAGGAAAAATGAAACCACATTG